AGAAGACGCCGCCCTGGCCCTTGACCTAGAGCAAGAGGTTCGAAACAGGAACCCTTGAACCTGAGCCCCAGCGCCCTCAACTTTCCCAGACCCAAGGCTGAGCATCTGCCCTGGACTCCTGAACCCAACATAAGGTTCTAGGTGGTAAAGACTCCTCTGAATATGCAAACCCAGGGCCAAGACCCCCACCCAAACCAGGACTGACACTCCATTCATGCAAATCAGAGAAATGAGGTTTCCTCTTATCTCAGGGTCATGGTGGGAAACCTTCCTCACAGGCGCTCAGCCGGCGAACAGGCAGGTGGTTGTGCTGGGGGAGGGAAGGAGAGAGGGGGGCGAGCTGAGTGTCAATCTTTCCACTCGTTCAGAAGGAGAATGGTGGTGTCGTGATGGTGTCCTTGTCCATGGGCGTGTTGCAGTGCAACCTGCTGGCCAATGTGTCCACTGTGGCAGGTGAGCCCCACCTGAGCTCTCCGAGCAGCTCTGATCTGGACCTAAAGCTTTCCTGGGGAACCTCGGAACAACCGGTACATTTGACCCATCCTTTGGCAGTAGGCACAGACCCCCCAAAACCAAAACATGCACAGGACACAGCTCCTTGGCGCCATCACACCCAGAGCCACAGGGTGGATAGCGCAGCACTGTGGGGTATAAGGGAGGCAGTCACACACAAAGCCTGGGTGACTCTGTAGGGCCTCCCAGAATGCCCTGCCCCTTAGGTCTCTGTGGTGTCTGACCCTCTCCCATCTTTCACATCCACGGAAAGGAGCACCCATAGGTTCTCAAGGAGCCTTGAGGCAGGGTGAATCCTGATGTGAAATGGCCCAAACTGGGAGTGCTGGGATCTGCTAGAAATCTGAAGTCAAGTCCAGAGATAGCCAGGATCCCATCAGGTCAAAGCTCAGGGCTCTCAAGTTGGCATACTGGGTGCCGAGCCATGAATTAATAGGCCTGCATGGCCTATAGGCTGCAAAAAGAGGAATCAGCAGAGTCCAGTCCCCTCCCCTCTCCCCTGCCCTGGAAACCCCACATTGCTGACTCTCCATCCCCCAGATCACTTCGACCACATCAGGGCAGTCATTGGATCCCAGTTCATTGGCATTGGCGGCGATTATGATGGGACCAGCAGGTGAGTGCTTCCCCTGTGGCTTGTCAGGAGCTCGCTGTGGGGCCGTCAGTCTCCGTGTCCACCTCAGCATGGTCCTCGTGGCCTTTAGGCCTTGACCACAGGTCTGCTGGCCCACTCGGCATCTCCCCTCCTCGGCTCTGTTTCCTGGACTTTCTCTTCTGATTGTGGCCCATTGGCCCCACTCTAAGTCATCATATTTGGCTAAGCCACCAGACAGCTCATCTGCCTAGCATGGGCACCCACCCCCAGTGCCAGCAGCCCCACTGCCTCTGAGCAGACTTTTAGCAAAGTCTAAAAGTGGTACAGGTTGACCATATTTTCTGCTTTCAGCTGGGTCTGTGCATGCAGGGGTTCAACCCAGTTATTTTCAAAAAATAAATATTTATTTCAGAGAGGAAGGGAGAGGGAGAGAGAAACATCAATGATGATGAGAGAGAATCAATTGGTCAGCTGCCTCCTGCATGCCCCCTAATGGGGACAGAGCCCGAAACCTGAACATGGAATCAAATCATGACCTCCTGGTTCATGGTCGGTCTCAACCACTGAGCCACGCCACCCAGGCTCAATCCAGTTCTTAAAAAGCTTTTCTTCTCTTTATACATAGAGGGGAAATTTGCATTCAGTGAAAGGCATAGATCTTAATACAATTCCAATGAGTTTTGACGAATATTCAAGGAGGTTTTGATTCTGAAAGATGAAGCATAGGGGTGAATCACTTGCTCTCTCATATGGAGCCGGAACCCTTAGGGCTGCGGTTCTGAGTCAGGACCCGGGAAACAGATATGGGGCCCCCCCAACTGGTTGCCTGGCGGCCGTGCAGTTTCCCTCAGGGTCTGGAGGATGTGTCCAGGTACCCAGTACTGATAGAGGAGCTGCTGAGTCGTGGCTGGAATGCGGAAGAGCTCCAGGGAGTCCTTCGAGGAAATCTGCTGCGGGTCTTCAGACAGGTGGAGCAGGTAGGTGTGCTGGGCTGGGAGGGAGAGGCTGAGCAGGTTGGGGGGGGGGGGAGCTGCAGGAGCTGCCTCACCACCAACTGCTGCCTCCAGGTTCGGGAGGAGAGCAGGGGGCAAAGGCCCTTAGAGGACGAGTTCCCCGATGAGCAGCTGGGCGGCTCCTGCCGCTCTGTCCTCCCACGGCTGCATCCGGGTCATCACATGGCCCCAGACCAGAAACTAATGGAGACTCCTGCGCAGCATTGGGGACCGAAGTTGTATTCTAAGAAGTCGTTCTCCAAATCCTCCCCCCTCACAGCCCCGAGCCTCACAGTTATTGCTTCCCTCCCAGTTGTCACTCTGTGGCTCTGGTGACCCAGTGCACCCTGTCAGATGTCACTTTGGCAGCTGTGGACACCCCACAACGTTGCCCCTTTGTGCAGGCACAAATATTTCCCGAAAATAAATATTTTAGAATGGAACCAGGTATGAGTGTCCTTCTCTGTGGTGGGTCCCCAATACCGGGTAGCTCACCTCAATCCCCATCCTGACCCACTGACCACCGTCTGACGGTCTTCCAGAGAATTCTAGTTCACATTCCCAAGTAGAGAACCTGCCTGGATCACAAATGACCTCTGTGCCTATTTGTACGGAGCCCAGAATGTCAGGCCACATAGTGGGCCGTGGGCTCCAAAGGCTGGACTGCCCTGGATATGGGCCTTCCCCTCCCTGACCCACAGAGACTTTCTCTCAGAGAGGCACAGGCTGCGTCAAGACAATGGCCCCATCTTACCACCAGGCCACTAACAGCAATAGCAAGTGCACTAATAACAGCCAAAACCAAGAGTTGGTACATTAAGAGTTAGTAATCATAGCTAATAATAAACATGACAATAGGTAATGGCTAATAAAAATAACAATACTAATAGTCAATGCATATCCCATGATGGGGCAATTTCACCCAAGATATATGTCCAAGAGGAATGCATGCCTACATTCCCCTATAGGCATATAAAAAAAAAAATAACTATAGCAGTACTATTAATAATCCCAAACTGTGCATTTCAAAGTCAAACTTCAAGAAGCCAAGGACAAAAGATTATCTTAAACGCAGCCATATTTTAAAAATCTTATTAACTTGAGGAACAACAATACTGACAACTGAATTTTCAATAGAAATAACAGGGCAGCACCCTTGGCAGCCCCCTGGATCCGTCTCTTGCTTCAACAGTGCTTGAACAGAATGTACTCAGGGACACTCCTTTTTCCAAGAACACGTTTTCCACTCACCACCTTTAGAACCACCTCAGCCACCCTCAGGTTCCAAGAGCAGCAAATACCGTGTGCGCGCGCGCGCGCGTGTATGTGTGTGTGTGTGTGTGTGTGTGTGTGTGTGTGTGTGTGTGTATTATTTTAGAGAGAGGAAGTGGGGAAGAAAAAGACACATTGACAAACATGGAAGTGAGAGAGAGATAATTGGTTTCCTTCCATACGACTGGGTTCTAATCCACAACCTGGGTCTGTGCCCTGATCAAGAATTCACCTTTCAGTATACAAGATGCTCCAACCAACTGAGCCATAATAGCCAGGGCAGCAAACACCATTTTTGGATCATAACTCCTTATTGCTAAACAACCGTGAGCCCCCTAATTCCTCAGAATTATACCACTGAGGTGAAGGCTGCCCTCCACTGCCTGATCAAGCTGCATCTGCAGGCCGCCTACGCCTCCCTCTCCCTGGGCTTCTGTTTTGACCGCTACCGTGTGGCTCCGGAGGGCGTGGGCCACTTCCTCAAGTTGGCAGAGGAGAAGTGCAAGGACACCCAGAGTCTCTTAAAGGTGCAAACCCAGCGTGGTGGCCGAATACATTTCCAGGACATGCAGAAGCCTTCCCAGGATACGTGGGGTAAAACTCAGGATGTCACAGAAAGGAACCTGAACCAGGCCCTTTGACCCTGCAAGCCCTGGTTCTACCCTCACAGAACCTCCTCTCTCTGACTTCCTGGAGAACCACTTCTTGGATGAGGAAGTGAAACTCATCAAGAAGATGGGCAGCCACCTGACTAACCTCTGAAGGCCGTCCAGTCCCCAGGCTGGGCTGAGTGAGTATCTCTCCAAGAAGCTCACCCTCAGGCAGACCAGGAGCCTTCGGCGCCCAGAGGCCTTTGAGCGGCCTCTCTGCATTCCTCTGGTGTCTAGCTTTGGCTGACCTTCCTAAAACCATGAAAATCCTCACTTGAGGATATGTTTTTTTTATTGATTTTTAGAGAGAGGAAGGGAGGGAGAGAAAAACATTGATCGGTTTTCTCTGGATAACCAGGGATAGAATCTACAACCTAGGAATGTGCTGTAACTAGGAATCGAACCTACAACCTTTTTGTGTTCAGGACAATGCTCCAACCAACCAAGCCAACTGGCTAGGGCCTGCAAAGCATCTTTTTAACCACCCTGGAGTCCTCTCCCATGCACTGAACCAAATGGAAACAATAATTTTTTTTTTGGGGGGGGGAATAAGGGACATCTATACATAGTGAAATATCTTTAACCTGCTGAATGAAAGTAACTACTACTGTTGAATTCTGTGAAGTGAAATATTCTTCAAATATGAAGGGAAATGTATTTTAGACCAACAAATGTGGAGAAATTGGAAATGCACAAATCACTTAATGAGAATAAATGTCATGTTTATTACATATATACAGGAAATTATTTTGCTGTCAGTTAAAACTGACAAATCTAATCACTATTCAATAGATTTCATGGAATAGTTGACCTTGTGAGGGTGAGGCACATCCACGCAACTAAAACCCTTCATGGACCACCTGCGGCTTGTCTGACGAGGGGTGAGACTAGAAACATTCCTGGGTCCCTCCCAGCTTCCCTCCAGCCCACCCCCTTAGTCTGTGTCCCTAGCAGAAGCAGAGGCAGAGGGACCCCGGCTGGAGGGAGCCCACGATGCGATGCGTCGCCAGAGGGCGCTCGCGGCAGAAGACTGCCTGGCCCTTTGGGGCGCTCTCCCTGTTGGGAGCAGGAGGACCGTGGTGCCCCCTGGCGGCCACGCAGTGCGCCGGCGCTCGGATCCCTGGACGTCTCCCCAGCGTCTTGCAAGATCCTCCTGCTCTCGAAGCCATTATTAAATCGATCGATGGTGCGGTGACCGCCTGCCTCTCTCAGGCTTTCAAACCCAGCCCCTGCCCGCCTGCCCGCCTGTGCAGCATGCGGCCCGCGGCCCTTGGGTTCCCCCGCGTGCCCGGCTGGCGGCCTCTGCTGTGCCCGCTGCTCTTGCTGCCGCTGTCGCTGCTGAAGCCAGTAACCCGCGCTTGGACCATTGCGGGCGGCGCCCCGACAGCGCTGGGAACACCCAACGCCACGACCATGCCCGACGTTCCCAGTGCCCCCACCACGCCCAGCACCCTCAGGGCCCCGAGACTGCGGAGCGAGCGGAGGCCTTGATGCGGGGCTTCCCACTGGTAGATGGGTGTGTGGATACCGCGTGGGGCGGAGGGGGCTGAACTCACCCCTAGGCAGTGGAGGGGATCCTCCCAGTGCAGGGATAGTGAGGAGGCTCCCTCACACCTCTCCTGGATACACTCTCTCCATCATCATTCATGGGCCCTTTCTCCTCATTATCCCATTTTTAAAATATATATATATATTTTTTTTTTATTGGTTGTTGTTTTTTTACAGAGAGGAAGAGAGAGAGGGGGATAGAGAGTTAGAAACATCGATGAGAGAATCATCCATCAGCTGCCTCTTGTACACCCCCTACTGGGGATGTGCCCACAACCAATGTACATGCCCGTGACCAGAATCGAACTTGGGACCTTTCAGTCCACAGGCCGAGGCTCTATCCACTGAGCCAAACCAGTTTCGGCCCCATTATCCCATTTCTGGTGGAACCCCCACCCCACCCCCTAGTGGAGCCTCCAGAGATCTCCCTACTGGCATTGTTTGTGTGAGGCAGGAAGGTGAAGCGGGACAGGGCAGGTCCAGGCATGTTGACCTGAGACCATGTCCGTGTTCTAACCTTTTCTTGACACCCCCAGCCACAACCACCTGCCCCTGCTCCTGAGACGGCTTTTCCAGAACAGGCTACGAGATATTAACCTGTGCAACCTCAGCCGTGGCCAGACCAGCCTGGACAAACTAACAGATGGCCTTGTGGGTGCCCAGGTACTGCAGGGACACACAGGGGTCCACAGTGTGGCTGCTGGGGAGTGTGGAGGCCACAGGAACCTGGGTAGGCAGTCCTTCAGTGACTGGGTATCATAGGACACAGATGTGTCATCGTGTGGCGGCTGCTGGGGAGCGTGGGGATGTTGGAGGCCAAGACAGGTTGGCCACATAGATCCCTAGGTTCGGTGGAAACGCACAGAAATTATCAGAACATCCCTGGTGATGGTGGGAGGTGCCGAGACCACAAAGGGACATGGTGAGCTGGCCTTGGGGCAGGCACACAGCACATGGACCAACAGAAGGCAAGGATGGTGTGTCCTGAGTCCATAGTTTGGCTGCTGGCAGCAAACTCAATGGTTATCAAGCTGCCATGGGGTCGGCCTCACTCAGGCCACGGACCCTCATGAGTATCTTGGGGGGCTGAGAAGGAGTGGCCTGATCACATTCCTACCCTTAGTTCTGGTCAGCCTATGTCCCTTGCCAGACCCAGCGAGAGGATGCCATCCGCCTCGCACTGGAGCAGATTGACCTCATTCGTTGCATGTGTGCTTCCTACACTGAACTGGAGCTTATGACCTCAGTCCAAGGTGGGCTGCTGAATGTGGCAGGGGCAGGGGGAGGACCAATCGGAGGCTTCCTCTGGTGCTTCTGGCCCTGGTTCCGAACCACTTGGTTTTCCACCCTCTTCTAGGTCTGAACAGCACTCAAAAGCTGGCCTGCCTCATTGGAGTGGAGGGCGGTCTCTCACTGGACAGCAGCCTTGCTGTTCTGCGGAGCTTCTACCTGCTGGGGGTGCACTACCGGACACTCACCTTCACCTGCAACACGCCCTGGTGAGTGTAGAGGGATGACGGACAGGACAGTGGGGAAGCTGCCAGAGAGGTGAGGACAGAGGGGTCCAGGGAGGGAGGCTGAACTGCCGGCAGGTCCCTCACGCTCCCAGATAGCAGCTGGCCTACGTCCTTCCCCTGTTCTGGAGGAGGGGTGGATGGACAGAGGGATTGAAGAGTCCCCAGGCTCTGGTGGCCAAGGTGTGGCCCACTAGATTGCCCTCCACTGGCTCTTCTGCAGGGCAGAGTTCCATCAAGTTTGAACACCACTTCTTCACTGACGTCAGTGGGTTGTCAAGCTTCGGTGAGGTGAGGACTCCTGCTCCCTACCCGAACCCACCTGTTCCCTATAGATAGGTGCATACGTGCACCTGTGACACATATACACCCCCAAATAAAATACATGTCCTGCCCTAGCCAGTTTGGCTTAGTGAATAGAGCAAAGACCTGCAGACCAAAGGGTCCCGAGTTAAATTCCAGTCAAGGGCATGCACTTCGGTTGCAAGCTCCTCCCCGGCCTAGGCCCTGGTCAGGGCTTGTCAGGAGGCAACCAATCGATGTGTTTTTTTCTCACATCGATGTTTCTCTCTGTCTTTCCCTCTCTCTTCCACTTCCCTAAAAACCAATGGAGAAATATCCTCGGTGAGGATTAACAAACAAACAAACAAACAAACAAAACTGTGTCCCTGCAGAAGGTGGTAGGGGAGATGAATCGCCTGGGCATGATGGTGAACTTGTCCCATGGGTCAGACGCCTTGGTGCATCAAGTGCTGGAGGTACCAAGGGCTCCTGTGATCTTCTCCCACTCAGCCGCCAGGGCTGTGTGCAACAATTTGCTGAATGTTCCAGATGACATCCTCCAACTTCTTGTGAGTGGCCACCCCCGCCCTCAGACCCAGAGCTAAGCATGCTTCATACAAAGAGTCTTTACCCTGAGCAAAGCTACCAGCCCAGGCCTCACTTTTGGACTCAAGACTGGTTAACCCTCCCGATCTCTGAAACTCAAGTCCAAATCAGTTCCACCCAGGGGCCCACAAACCCAGAGAAGTGTCTTCCAATCTCTGAAGCCAGGACTGAGTACTGTCCTAATAGGAGGGCCCTCTGGGGCACGGGGGGAGGGGGGGGGGGGGGGAGCAGGTCATCAGGACAGAAGGGCGAAGGGCAAGCTGAGTATCCATTTGTTCACCCCTGTAGAGGAAGAATGGTGGCATTGGAAGAATGGCGGCATTGTGATGGTGACGCTGTCCATGGGGATTTTGCAGTGCAACCTGTTTGCCAGTGTGTCCCTGTGGCAGGTGAGCCCCACCTCAACTCCGTGCGCAGTTCTAGCGCACGGAGTTGAGGTGGGTATAGTCTGTGGCCACCGGGGTCCTCAGGACAGCTCCAGTGAGCTAGCACACCTGGTGGGCATTGGGCGGACCTTGGGGAGTACATACAGCTCTTCACGGCCACCAGATCTGGACCACAGTCAGTGCTGACGGGTTGGGGCAAGCATCTGCCTCTGCTTCTGAGGCTCACTCTTACTCCCACATCTCTGGACAGGACAGGACAGGCTGGCAGACCCCAACCAGGCTCTCAAGGAGCCCAGAGGCAGGGTGGCTTCTGGGCAGGAAAAGATCCAAAGAGGCGGCTCTGACGTTCACTCTAGGTCCAGTGTCCAGCTTGTGGCCACTCCAGAACACACAGCTGGCTAGGAGCTCTGTGGAGTCAGCTGCCATGGCCTGGAGCTTGGCAGGGGGATTGGCCAGGGATGAGCATCACCAGATCAGGGCTGCCCACCACTAACCTCCCCAGGGATGATCCCAGGGTCTAACTCCAGCCCAGTGCTGCCCATCACCAACCTCCACCCTCTAGATTACTTGGACCACATCAAAGCAGTCATTGGATCCGAGTTCATCGGGATTGGTGGAAATTATGATGGGTCTGGCCAGTGAGTATTTCCGTTTTGTTTTGTGTTTTTTTTTGTTTTTTTTTTTCTTGGGCTGGGATAGAGGAGGGAATTACAGTTCCGCATCCTGTGGTCCTCCCATCTTTCAAACCTCAACCACAGGCTGCTGTGTCCCAGACCATGTGATATTTGCCCACTCTCAGGGCCTGTGTCCTGGGCTTTCTGTGGTCCACTGGACCCACCGCCACTCGAGGTCATTACCTCCCACAGGCAGAGCTCATTTATCTGCACAAGCTCCGGTCCCAGCCCAGCAGGACTAGCTTGGGTCTGTGGCCACTGTTGTGGGCTGATCGTCTGTGCAGTGGGTAGATAATGCAGAAGCCCAGTCTTCAAGGAGCTTCCAAAGTTGCATTCAGTAGTCTGAAGAGGCCACTGAATGGCCTTTGTTTTCCCTTGTGACTGGGGCTGTTGGGACCGGACAATTGTCCGTAGACAAGGATCAGGGCCACGGTCCCACAGCTGGCTGGCTGGTGTTCACAAAGGTTCCCTCAGGAGCTGGAGGATGTATCCACGTACCCGGTTCTCATAGAAGAGTTGCTGAGGCGCGGCTGAAGTGAGAAGGAGCTTCAGGGTGTCCTTCGTGGAAATCTGCTGCGGGTGGAGCAGGTATTGTGCTGAGCTGAGCAGAAGGATGGCTCAGTGGTTTGCAGGTGAGGGGTGCCCTAGAGGAGCCGCTGACTGACAACTCCCACCCGCAGGTGAGAGATGAAAACGGTGGCCAGAACCTGCAAAGGATGAATTTCCAGACAGGCAGGTGGGCAGGTCCTGCCATTCCCACCTCAAGACTCCGCTTCCGCATCGACACCTGGCCACACACCTGGATGTGAGCAGGCGGCCAAGCAATCATCCTCCAGAGTCCCCCAAAAGCCTCCCGCAATTGTCCTAGGCTTCCTGGCTACTGCCACCTTCTCAGCCCTCATCCTGTGGCTCTGATGACCTGGTCAGCTCCCCAGAGGTCACCTTAGGGGTCTGACAAAGTCCCCCTCCTAGTCATCCAGGCACAAGCATGTGCTAAGAATAAACATTTTAGGCATGGAACCAGGTGTGAGTGTCCTTCCTCTTTCGCATAGAGGGGTGAGGGATGCAATCCAGACTTCATTCTTTTATGGATGAATGATAGTCCCTGGTACGTACACACACACACACACACACACACACACACACACACACAGTTCCTGGTACATAGAGAACACAGTTTGTTACCCATTCACCTGCTGATGGAAACTTGGGTTGCCTCTACCTTTTGGCTATACAATGAACATTGGCATATAGGTATCTGCTTGAATCCCTGCCTTCAATTCCTTTGGGCATATGCCTAGGATGAAATTGCTGAGTCAGAGGGCAATTCTAGGGTTAGCTCTTTGCAAAACCACCACACTGTTTTCAATAGCAGCTGTTACCATTTTACTGTACATCCCACTCAGCAATGTACAAGCATTTCTCCACATCCTCCCCAGCACTTACCTTGCATTTTTTTTTTGTGTGTGTGATAATAGCTAACCTAAAGGGTGGGAACTGATGTCTCACAGCCAATCTCACATTGTGGTTTTGGTTTGCATTTATCTAATGACTAAATGATGTTGAGCATCTTTTGCTGTGGACAGTATATCCATAAGCTCCAGGTCTGTATTCTTTCTCAGCTCCCTGAAGCCATTTGGGACTGGCTTGGGAGGTCATCCTGTTCTCCCCAGAAAGCCTCATTTTATGAGTAATAAAGTTTCCATATCCTCGTGGAGCACATGTAGCCTTATCAGTCTTTTTCTTTTTTTTTTCCAATATATTTTATTGATCCTTAACAGAGAGAAAGAGAGAGGGATAGAAACATCAATGAGAGAGAAACATCAATCAGCCTGCAACCAAGGTACATGCCCTTGACCAGAATCGAACCTGGGACTTTTCAGTCTGCACGCCATGCTCTATCCACCGAGCCAAACCGGTTTCTGCAGCCTTATCAGTCTTGACATCTGACTCAAATTTGAGGGAGGATGGGCCTATCTGCTTCTACAAGGTGACCTCAAAGCTTTGTCAGGACCGTTATTTCATCTCTAGCTAATTTAGCCTGACTACTAAGGCAATGCTCTTCTGAGGAGTCTAGCTAATGGCCCGTATATTGAAAGGTCTTTCACTCTCACTGGCAGGAACACAAATGTGTGAGCTCCAGGAATTATTCAGCCGACATCCTTCCAGTGGTTCTTTCTCTGGCCTTATCTAAAATTATTTGTATGTGTGTACAGATCAATCCTCTGAATGACTTCAAGGGGAGACCCTCTGTAGATCTGCAGGCCTCTCTCTTTGTGTAGCTTCCTCCTCCATGGTATTTTCTCCTGCAGATTCTAGCTGCTTTGGCCTTCCCAAAAGCAGGGCTTATTTTTCTTTCTTTCTTTCTTTTTTTTAATATATTTTTAAATTTATTTTAGAGAAGAAGGGAAAGGGAGAGAGAGATACCATAGAAGCATCAATGATGAGAGAGAATCATTGATTGGCTGCCTCCTGCATGCCCCTCACTGGGGATCGAGCCAGCAACCTGGGCATGTGTGATTGACTGGAATTGAACCCAGGATCTTTCAGTTTGAGGCTGACGCTCTATCTACTGAGCAAACTGGTTAGGGCATCTGCTTATACTTTTTTATATAAGAGTATATCCTTGTTTCATATTGCTAATATTCTCCCTTATGTTTTATAATATGTTTATTAGGCTAATCTTGAACTGTTGATCAGTGTATTCTAAGAATTTTCCTGATAAGTGTTTTCTCTTGAAATGTCTGTGCTTTCTTTATTTTTGCCTGAGTACCTTGATGGTGCAGACTACTTGGTCAGTCAAGGAATGGAATAGGGGAAGTCGTATCCTAGCCACAGAACTCCCCAGAGCGAAGGTTGTCTGTTGGGCTTCGGTGGCCTATCTCTCCCACACAGCATCTGACCCCACCCCTGAGGAGAGAGGCCATGTGTGTGATGGCAGGGTGGGAGTGTGTGAACACTGCTGAGAGCATGTGTCTGGCCAAACTACAAACCCCAGACACTCTTCTCTCTTTAAAGGCTTGGACTACACCCTGGCACGCACCCTGGGGCCAAGAACTGAGGATACCAACGTGAACAGACAGAAATCCACAGCCTAGTGGGCGCGAAAAACATTCATCAAAGATCCTCCCCACAAGGCGTTTCTCCCTGCAGTGGGGACTATGGCGGGAAAGTGTCCCAGGGGAACACAAGCCAGCGAGGACGAGGAGGGTGTCAGGGTCTGTGCCTGAGAAGTCCTCTGGGGAGGAGGTGGTGCTCCAGGCTGAGCACTCCACCACCTGGAGGAGCTTGGTCAGTGAGGGTGGGACCGAGGGTTGAAAGGCATTCTGTCAGAGTGAACAGCAAGTGATTTGCAGAAACTCCCCGAGTTTGAGGAAGTGAAAGACAGAAGGGTTGAGGCTGGGCAGGAGGACGGGGAGAGGTGCAGCTTTGAGGAAGTGAAAGACAGAAGGGTTGAGGCTGGGCAGGAGGACGGGGAGAGGTGCAGCTGTCGAGGCTGGGGAGCCAGATGAAGCAGGGACCTGTGGGCCGAGCAGAGCTTGGGCTTTCTCCTCAGAAGAGGCCGACATGGCACAGCACAATTGGCTGGTTGTTGATCCCTGCACCTCAAGGTCACTGGTTTGAGTCCCGGTTGGGCTACATGCTCAGGTTGCAGGCTCTGTCCCTGTGGGAGGCATGCAGAGGGAGGCTGCTTGAGAGATGTTTCTCTCTCCCTTTCCCTTCCTTTCTCTTTAAAATCAATTAAAACTTAAAAAAAAAAGAGGTAGCTTACCATGAGTGGGGGAGAGAGCAAGAAGTCCATTGGGAAGGCTGCTACTATGGCCAACGGAAGGCAGCATGAGGGGACAGGACGTCAAGTGGACAAACCCTGGCCGGGAAGACTGTGGGGGAGGAGCCAGGACGGTGGTCACCCAGGGACTCTGATTCCTGATTCTGCCCCGGAGCTGGAGGCCCAGGAGAGGAGGCAGTCAGAGGGCGCGGTCAGAGGTTGCTTGGGAAGATACACCTAATTCTGATGTTCTCAAGCCCTGTGAGCCAGAACGGGGAGAAAAATGGAGACAGGCAAGGAAGATGGGCTCTGAAGTTTTCTGACAGAACAGCTTGAAAGGACACCTAGAAAGATAACAATGTTAAAGGAAAACCAACTTGTGTACGTTCTCTGCAGCAGTATTGTGGAAAGTGGAGGAAAAGTTAAGAGCAAGCAAGTAAATGATTTGGGTTAAAGGAACCCCCCAGGAAGTGAGACGGTAAAATTAAGATGAAAGAATTTGACTCACGAATAGAATGTAGCCTCCCAAAGGGGCAAAGGGGTGGCTGGGGGGGTGGGGTGGTATGTGCCCTTCCCATGGATGCGGCAGCAGCCTCGGGGAAAGGAGCCAGAATCCCTGCTGCCTCCCTCTGGGGAGGCCTTCCCCCCTAAAGGGATGACCTTTGCAGGGACTGGGCTTCCAGGGACTCAGAGGACAGAGTGGAGGGAGATGGACAGGGGATACGGAGGCAAGGTGGGAGTCCCTGGCCAGGACTGGGAGGACCCCTGCGACCCTAGGCCATTCCTGCCGATCTCTCCCTACCCCTGAGAAATGTTCGCCGAGTGTTTCCTTAGGCACAGAGCACAGAGCCAGGGCACCCCGCACCCCACCTCCCCTTGTCCTCAGGCAACCCCGAGAGGTGGAAGTGTTCTGTCCTCTTTCAGCAAGTCAGTACCACATCTGTGGCTCAGAGAGGGCGGCCCCTCACCCAGGGCCACACAGCCATCAGGCCCCTCGCCAAGGCGTCAAAGCTGCTGGAAAGACCCCTTCCAGAAGGGGCTTCACTCCTATCCAGGGCCCCCCGGGGGAGGAGCTGGCCCAGCCCCTCCCGCTCCCCGCCCCCGAGGGGCGGCCCGGGGGGCGGGCGGAGGAAGTGAGCGCAGCGGGGAGGAATGCGCCGGGCGGGTGCGGGCCGGAGGGAGCGGAGGGAGGGAGGGAGGGAGGGAGCGGCGGGGACAGCTGGGCAGGCGGCCGGCGGCGGGCGAGGCCGGCGATGCCTCACTTCACCGTGGTGCCCGTGGACGGGCCGCGGCGCGGCGACTACGACAACCTCGAGGGGCTCAGCTGGGTGGACTACGGGGAGCGCGCGGAGCGGGAGGACTCGGACGGTGAGGGCGCGCGGGGAGGGGGCCTCGGCGGGGCCGGGGGGAGAGGGGAGGGGAGCGGAGCGGACCACGCGGGCCGCGCTCACGCAGGCACCTGGCCCGATCGCGATCGCGCTCACGTCGATGCGGGTCCAACTTTTCTTAGTCTGCGCCGCCGCCGCTGCCAGTCCCTCCTGCTCCCGCGGTTTCCCTGGGCCCGGCGGCCCGCTGCCGGGACGCCCTCCCCACCCGGCTCCTCCCTGGCTGGCCGCGGGCGGGCGGGGGCTGCAGACGTGGCCGGCTCCGGAGGCCAGGGCGGCCTTCGGGGCCCCTGAGCGCGTGGATAACGGCGAGCGAGCCTCCGTCTCTGGCTCTCTCTTCCCGCTGCCCGAGCCCCCATCCCTTCGCCTTCTGTGATCGCCTCCAGCCTCTTCTCGCTTCGCCTCTGACACAGAGACTCCCCTTTCCTCCCTCCCCCATCTCTGTGGCTCCCCGAACCAGGCCTTCGGGAGAGGGATGTGCTTGCTAAGGGGTCTGTGCCACACGGGCTGTGACGGCACTCAGTGGAACCAGGCTTGTCTAGGTGCTTTATGTGGATCAACTGGCTTCATCCAACCGCTTTCCCCCTCCCCACGGGGTAGGTAGGTCCTGTTACTCGCACTTGGGAAGGAGTGACTGAGACAGAGCCATTACGTAACTTGCACCAGGGGATTCCAATCCGGAGTTGGAGACTCCAGCTCCCTAACTTTTAGCCTAGGTATTAGAACTGGGCCTGAAGGTGAGCCCCTCCTTCCTTACCCCCCTCCCCCGGGTGCCTGCCTCTCCCCAAACCCCTCTCTCCATTTCCTCCCAGGAAAGCCCCCAGATGGCGGTCCTTGCCCAGGGCACACCCTTGGAGTACGAACACTGCTGAGAACATGTGTCTGCACG